GTACTAAGGATTGGAAGCTGCTCTTGCCAGTCTCAGGGCTTCAGTAAACGAGAGCAGTGCAGTCTCAGTTGAGTGGACGCTTTTGAAGAGAGATTGATTGCTGTCCAGGAGGTTGTTCTGTGCAAGAAAGAGTTGGTTGAACACAACTCACTCAAGCGTCTTTGCAATGAATGGAAGAAGGGATACCGGTCTGTAGTTTTCTAAAAGTACGGGATTTAGAGAGGGTTTCTTAAGCAGTGGGGTTACCCGAGCCTGCTTGAATGCTGTGGGAAATGTACCAGAGTGAAGATAGGTGTTGATAATGTGAGTGAGCGCAGGAATAACTGATTATACAATTATATATCATGCAAACATGTTAACCTGATTGCCAAATCCCTAATAAACCTGCAGTATGATCCAGTTTCTAGAATAAACAGCAGATACGAGGACTGTGTTAATCTGAATTTTGGGTGATGTAAAGTAGAGATTAGGCTCATGTCTAGAAACCATTGTGGCCAATGACCTACATAATGCTTAATGATGACAAAGAAGATGTACTCAAATTTGCTGAATGTAAATAAATAGCTATTTCACACACATTTACGAAAAATGACTAAAGTAAATCAGCCAAGCAGGAATAGTTTTTGGCTGGTACGGGCGATGAAAAGTCATGAAACACATATCTTAAATAAAGATGAGATCTTTTTACAAACAAGTAAATATACATTACCGTTCCAAAGTTTGGAGTAGCTAAGCTCTTTTTTTATTATTATTTCTTCTGCTCACCAAGGCTGCATTTATTTGATCAAAAATACAGTAAAATCAGAAATATTGTGATATATTATTATAATTTAAAACATTTCAGGATTCACAGATGAATAGAAAGGTCAAAAGAACAGCACATACTTGAAAAATAACCTTTTCTAATATTATAAATATCTTTACTGTCACTTTTGAACATTTTAATGTGTCCTTGCTGAATAAAACATTAATTTCTTTCAAAAAACAATCTTACCAACCACAAACGTTTGAATGATAGTGTGAATAAATATACAGAAAAGTGGAAGCACCATAATGGCATACATTTTGCAATTCACTGCACTCTTGTCTGTTACTTTTGAAAAACTGAAATGTGTAATTTTGGTGCCACATTCATCACTAAAAGAAAATAGCAAAAATAATAACTTTTCAAACAGGCTTTCCAATCACTGGTTCTGTCATACATTAGATGGACAAAACAGACCTCAAGCGATTGAGATCATTTTGGTGTGTTGGGCTGCGCAAGCAAATAAAAGCAATTTAAAAAATTTGAATGTGCCACAACGTTTATGCTTTTCAGGGAAATCAGCCACAAATGGTTTACTCTTAAATGTGCCTCAACAAATTATTTTCGCATTGAAAAAATGGCACACTTCAGCTTTAAGGACATTCATGAAAAATAATAACTTGATTAAATTACTGTGCCGATTTACTAACAATGAATCAGCGTGCCTTTACAGTATTTCCAGAAGATAACAGTGGGAAAAAATATGCATGTCACAATATGCTGATAACTATATTTCATCAGCTGTACAGCATATAAACTTCTTTTACATCTGAAACGAAGTCAAAACTGAGGTCAAAAAGCTCAAAGATAAGTATGTTATGATAAAAAGGAGCAATTACGACAATGTGAGGAGTTTTAAAGGTCGAACAGAATAAATAGTGAGAGGTTTCATCAATCCAGGATAATATCTGTCTTTCTTCAAGCTTTCTGAAACCCTCTGCGCGACATCAATAGATGAAGACAAAACATCAGAGCTGACCCTCAGACAGACCACACAAGCCATGACTCATAACTTTATCCATCTGATTGTCTGTTTACCTCTTTATCCATTTGCTTTCTCACTCCTTCTCTCATCGTGCTAAAGGACGTGCCATTTGTATCCCGAACAGTCGCGGCACCTGCAGCTTTGTGTCAGACACTATAATTCATCATCCTTAAGGAGTCACACGTCTTTCTCAGGACAGCATCTGCTGTAACCGCCAAAACCAGACAGAGAGAAACACGGCTCTTTCAACAGAGACCGAACGATTGAATGAGACCTAACAGCTTTCAACAGCGCTAACGATACACTGCTGTATTGGCCAGGATAATTAATCAGCCAATTTCCTGGACAATTTGAGGTTATCGCATCAGCTGTTAACCACACCGGCTTGACCGATTAACAGAAGTGTTAGTTTCTACTTGTGCCAATTGTGAAATATACCAGCAGTCCTGTCAATGAATAATAACCATTTTTGTTTGATGTTTTGAGTGCATTTTAAGTGAATATTGTGCAGCATAATATTCCAAATGCCGTCTCATTTGTCCTCATTATGTTTTGTATATTGGCATTATATCTTAATGTTAGGTGCAGACATTGATTTCTAGAGAGCAGGATGCCTGAAGGCCGATATAATACAACTTAAAGGACTAGTTCACCCAAAAATGAAAATATCCTTACCCTCAGGCCATCCTGCAGGCGAGTTTGTTTCTCATCAGATTTGGAGAAATGTAGCATTGCATCAGTGTCTCAGCAATGGATGCTCTGCAGTGGATGGGTGCCGTCAGAATGAGAGTCCAAACAGCTGATAAAAACATCACAATAATCCACATCACTCCAGTCCATCAGTTAACATCTTTTGTAGTGAAAATCTGTGTGTTTGTAAGAAACAAATCTAACATTAAGATGTTTTTAACTTCAAACAGTTGCTTCCAGCTAAAAGAAGAGTCCATAATCATGCTTTCTCCAGTGGAAAAGTCCATCTCCTGTTGTCTCGCATGTCAAAATCCACTGAGATATTTGTTTAGAGCTGTTTTGGACTGTTTTCACTTATAAACGGCACTTGATATGTGCAGATTTCTCTCCTGATTCAGGCCAGACATCTTAATATTCGATTTCTTTCTTACAAACACACAGCTTTTGGCTTCACAAGACATTAACTGATGGACTGGAGTGATGTGGATTACTTGTGGATTATTGTGATGTTTTTATCAGCTGTTTGGACTCTCATTCTGACGGCACCCATTCACTGCAGAGCGTCCATTGCTGAGCAAGTGATTTACAGTAATGCAACATTTCTCCAAATCTGATGAAAAAACAAGGGGGAACTAAAACTTGTATTAATTGGACACAGTTGTTGCCAGATAATCTCAACCACATTTTGGCTAATTAGCTTGCCTAGTTAATATATAATAGTACATTTGTGGAAATATTGTGTGAAATACTTGGTTCCAGCCTTTTTTGTACATCACATTTTCTCATTATTAAATTGTACTGTGTATATATCTGCATTATCATCCATTACAACAGCACTAACACACTTCACCTCTCAACAAGCATTCAAAAACAAACTGCTGATATCATAAAAACTTATGCTGGGTTTTATATCCAAACACAAGCAGCACATCAGAAAGGAAGAAAATAACATCTACTAGATATCTAAGCCTTAAATAAAATCAAACAGCCACATCTGAACAACATCAAATCATTCACATTCACATAGATGCAGAGCATCTGAGTGACCTCAACGTCCTAGAATGATCAACTGGTTGATTCCAATGAACAACTTACAAAATTATTGCACTATTGACAGCTAAACCCCCCCAAACCTACATATTCCAGCTTTATTTAAGCATTTAAAGGTCGCCTGTCCGGTGTCCTTTAGGACAAGGAACCTCAGGCCACATCTCGTGGAACCCAACACTGATCCAGCATGTGTTTGAATATGACATTCTCCCAGGACTGACTGCAATGTTTCTGCATGCAACAGCATGGCAATGCATCAGGACATCAGCTGCGTGTAAAAGCCAGCAGACACGCATGAAACAAGAAAAACTCTTACCGGAGGTTCAGGTGGCTGTATGGATGGAGGAATGCGGGTCTGCTGCTGGTGTGTTACTGCAGTCCGCATGCACTCAGCATCATCATCATCATCATCATCATCATCATCATCCTCAAGAGGCTCAGTCTGGGTTTGTGTGGACAGTCCCGCTGGCGGTGCTGAAGTGGACAGCTCCTCGACTCTGTCTTGCATTCGTGTTTTACGGGGGAATGAGAAGGACAGCAGGGAACTGAGTGTGTCTAACTAATAGAGTCAGACATCAGCCCCGCCAGTAAGAGCACGAGGTGTGTTCGCAATCACGCTCTACCATACCACTCCTACTAGTAGTGCAGTACGCGCGCAGGGTGGAAAGCGTTGCTGTTACCTGTTACATTTGGTAGTTCTTCCTCCAGGGGGCGCGTAGTGGCTCATTAAGACAAATACTCTTTTGAGGTGCATTGGAATTTAAGTCAAAGATATTGGGGACATTTGTATATTAAACCGTATAATCGCTTAAATATATTGATTTGAAAACATACTGGCCGATATGCATATTGATATCTTCATAAAATCGATTACTCCAAAAAAATTAACTGGTAATCGCAGTTGACTGTGATTGGCTCGTACGGAGTAGCGCTGGGAAATGTAACACGTAGCTACTTCGTGACATTGCTGTCTTTCATCAATTCAAGAGGTAAAAGTTACGGAAAAATACAAATTAACAGCATACACGTTTAAATGTATTAATTTTAAAGCATATTATCTGGCATGCATATTACAATTCTATATTGATTTGAAAACATACTGGCCGATATGCATATTGAAACTCATTCTAGTTATCTTCATAAAATCGATTACTAAAAATGTTTTACTGGTAATCGCAGTTGACTGTGATTGGCTCGTACGGAGTAGCGCTGGGAAATGTAACACGTAGCTACTTCGTGACATTGCTGTCTTTCATCAATTCAAGAGGTAAAAGTTACGGAAAAATACAAATTAACAGCATACACGTTTAAATGTATTAATTTTAAAGCATATTATCTGACATGCATATTACAATTCATTTTAGTTATCTCTACAAAATCGATTACAAAAAAGTAACACTTAGGCTACCTAATCAAAATTGATTGTGATTGGTCCATCTTGAGTACCGATGGGAAAAGTATCATGCACCTCGTGACAGCGCTATCTTTCCTCAATCCAAGCGTTACAAGTTACAAAAAAATTACAAATTAAATATTAAACATTAAGATACGATCACTTTAAATTCTAATGTATAAATACAAATATTTATAGCTACAAATGGACAAATCACATATAAATATAAGAAAAACAGGCAGAGAGAGAAAATAATTGCTCTTGTTTGTTTACAGACTGCATGAAGATGGCATTATTCTTTATCTTCTTAATATTCTTATTAATAATAATAAAAATAAAAAAAACTTTAAAGTAAGGCTTACAATTAGCCTGGTATATCTATAGGCTAGATCAAAGCATTCAAACGGTCATTCAGTAGCAACGAAAATAACATGCCAACAAGACAGAGAAAATCCTGTGAAATTTTAAAGCATATTATCTGGCATGCATATTACAATTCATTTTAGTTATCTCTACAAAATCGATTACAAAAAAGTAACGCTTAGGCTACCTAATCAAAATTGACTGTGATTGGTCCATCTTGAGTACCGATGGGAAAAGTATCATGCACCTCGTGACAGCGCTATCTTTCCTCAATCCAAGCGTTACAAGTTACAAAAAAATTACAAATTAAATATTAAACATTAAGATACGATCACTTTAAATTCTAATGTATAAATACAAATATTTATAGCTACAAATGGACAAATCACATATAAATATAAGAAAAACAGGCAGAGAGAGAAAATAATTGCTCTTGTTTGTTTACAGACTGCATGAAGATGGCATTATTCTTTATCTTCTTAATATTCTTATTAATAATAATAAAAATAAAAAAAACTTTAAAGTAAGGCTTACAATTAGCCTGGTATATCTATAGGCTAGATCAAAGCATTCAAACGGTCATTCAGTAGCAACGAAAATAACATGCCAACAAGACAGAGAAAATCCTGTGAAATATAATTAACAAGACATTAATAGCTTTCCCTACAACTTGAGTAAAAATAAATATTATGACAATTTACTGTGTGGTCTGCTAAGCCCCGCCCGTTTTCACAGCCGGTTTCATGTTAATCGCCACTCTCTCTGCTCGCGCTAATTCTATGTAGTATGCAGTGCGTTAGTGTTCCAGTATAGACGCAGCGCGCATGCTCAGTGCTCGCGTGCTGAAATTACTGACAGGTGTGAGGAGTTTTTCAGGTCGAATCTCAGGAGGAAAACAAACCCCAAACAACCGCTTGTGATCCCAAATTAATAAAGTGAGTCTATGAAAATAAAGGGTAAAGAGACGTTTATTACACTAGAAGTGATTTGTTTCTGATACTGAAAAATACAGAAGATCTGAAAGACCCGTTTTTGAGGAGAAAGTAGAACGTCTTTGAGGAGAATGTATAGGCACAAATAAATATAACAAAATGTGTACAGTTGGATGCTGTTATATTTTTTTCTGTATTTAGGCTATTTACTTTTAACTACATTTTTTTGCAGATCATAGAAATGAAAAAAAAAAGATTTTGTGATTTTTACATAATTTTTTTTTTGACATGCTATTTGTACAAGAGATGCTACAATTACTCCTATATAGTATAAATGTGAATTTGATGAGACCATTTCAATGTTTTTATGCATACATTTTCTTTCCTTAATCTTATTTTAAATCAACCTTTTTTATTTTCTATTTGTCTTAACAAGCACTGCTTATGAAACGTGCTGAATAACAAATGGAAGATGCCTTTCAGATGCATATAAATTAAATCTGACTTCTATACACAATCCATAACCGGTTTGAGTTTTAGGACTCAACAGGGATAATAAAGCTATATGACTAACAATTCTGTAATTCAGGTCATTAGGACACCACCTTCCTTCTATTCAACTGGAGTACAAATTACTTTTAGTAAAGACACGGCACATGGAGTTTCAGGATTCAAGCAGGGTTTCTGTGTATAAATCAAAAGTAAATCTCCTTTTCTTGGCACCAGGAGCAGCATTTGAACCTGTGCAAGATTTCAAGTCAAACTCCTCGGCATCTCTGCCTTCATAACTATGATCCAAACCCATTCAAACCATAAAAATAAAGAGTTTTCAACATTAAAACCCATGCGTTACAGAAACAGTATTTGTAAATCAATGCAAATTTCCACTTCCATCCTACAATTAATAAAAGCCATTCATCCATCCGAAAGCATAGGCAACACTGCCCTCTGCTGGTTAAATAGCGTGATGAAGTTAGAATTAAAAGGTTAAAACATCTTTTTTTTTTTTTTAAAGAAATAGTTAACCCCAAAGTGAAAATTTGCTAAAAAAAATGTACTCACCTTTGGTCCGTCCAATAGTTTGTTTTTTTCATGGGAACATATTTAGAGAAATGTCGCATTCCATCTCTTGCTCAGCAATGGATGCTCTGCAGTGAATGGGTGCCGTCAGAATGAGAGTCCAAACAGCTGATAAAAACATCACAATAATCCACACCACTCCAGTCCATCAGTTAACATCTCGAGTGTGTTTGTAAGAAACAAATTCATTCTGACGGCACCCATTCACTGCAGAGGATCCATTGCTGAGCAAGTGATGTAATGCTAAATTTCTCCAAATCTGATGAAGAAACAAACTCATCTACATATTGAATAACCTGAGGGTGAGTAAATTTCCAGCAAATGTTCATTTTTGGGTCAACTACTGCATTAACATACCATGTGATCCAAGTAAGACCAGATAATATTTCAAAGCATCGTATTGCATAAGACTTTATACTTTCTCAGCAATTTGCATAAAACATTTATGCACTTAATTCACAACCACACATTTACAGAATTATACAAACGCAAAGCACATTAAAGCACAGTGCATGTGCAAAAATCATATACCATCGTGATATTGTTAAAATGTGGAATAATTATCCAAGAAAAAAAAATGTCATGTTACAGTATCTTGATACTCCTTGAAATACTCATAAAGCAACAAATACAGAGCTCCTAAAAGTCCTCCAGCGTACAAAATAAGCACATTGTGATAGCTAACCACATACAGACCTGGCCACACTTTATAAATGTTTCAGTTTTGTAAATTTAGGATCTTGATGAAATATTATGAATGCAACATACAGAGAAACATCAGCAAAAAGTCCAATTTGATAACAATATTAAATATACTATAAGATTGGTCTTATTTAAACAATGCAACCCTGTGAAGTAAATCAGAACCAATATTGATTTTCCAGCTTTAATCCTTTTCACACTGAGGTTTCAAAGTGCATATGAATCAATATCCATACAAGTCACATTTAAATAAAAATCTATAATGTATATAGATATTCCTATATACATAATGTAGTATAGTTCCTAAACATGATGCCATTCTTATCTATTATTAGATTAATGTGAATTAAATCAACACAGAGCTCTAAATATGCCAGTTTGCTTCTGTAAAACACGACTTGATTGCTCTCTGGATTATTTCAAGGAAGATCTGTGTTCCCGTTTACAGATTTGTCTAATGAAGCTGAGAGAAAATCTGATGGTCCAGTAAAGCTGAAGGACTGTAATGTGCAGATGTACTGAAAAAAAGTGCAAATATTTCAGTATTTCATAAGTGCAAAATGACACATCTTTTGGTTCCTGCATGAAAACAGAAAGCTGCTTCAATAAGAACTTCCTTCTAACGATTATCATAAATACCATTAACAATGGGACCAGATTGGCTCGAGTCGTCATTCTGAAAGCCTGCAGCTTGGTTTCAAACCAAAGAAAGTTTCTTAATTGCTAAAATACACTAAAACAATCAAGCACTTGAAATGTGGATTTGTTGTCGTGTCTTCTGTGATATTGCATTGGAGTAAAAGTGTGTCGTTTCAAAAGTCGGCCTTCCAGAGTAAGATCTTGGATGAGAGAGGACCTATGCTGAGAGAAAATCTGATGGTCCAGTAAAGCTGAAAGACTGTAATGTGCAGATGTACTGAAAAAAATATTTCAGTATTTCATAAGTGCAAAATGACACATCTTTTGGTTCCTGCATGAAAACAGAAAGCTGCTTCAATAAGAACTTCCTTCTAACGATTATCATAAATACCATTAACAATGGGACCAGATTGGCTCGAGTCGTCATTCTGAAAGCCTGCAGCTTGGTTTCAAACCAAAGAAAGTTTCTTAATTGCTAAAATACACTAAAACAATCAAGCACTTGAAATGTGGATTTGTTGTCGTGTCTTCTGTGATATTGCATTGGAGTAAAAGTGTGTCGTTTCACAAGTCGGCCTTCCATATTGCATTGGAGTAAAAGGGTGTCGTTTCAAAAGTCGGCCTTCCAGAGTAAGATCGTGGATGAGAGAGGACCTATGAAACAAAACATACATTTCACACAGGCTTCCACTAACTTTACATTAAAGCGACAGACTAACCAGAGGCACTACATTTTGATAAAAGGTTAGAAATATAAAATGTTTTTTGGAGATCAGAAACATAGGTTAGCTTGGAGTTCATTGCCAGTTCTGATCTGGTACCTCACCTCTTCTGGACTGTTGTGCTAAATCTGCAGGTTAATGAAGGGAGCGAATCCCACCACGTCCTGCAGCAGCACTAGCGCCCTCTGCAGGGGAGGCTCCACATCGATGTCCACGTTACGCCGGCGCAGAACGCCCAGACTGGACTCGGTTACGTTGTGACAGTGGTTCACCTTGAGAGACTGCAGTTTGGGGCAGTACTCTGCTAACGTCCTGAACACAGATAAACAAAAGTTATTGAAAAGCTTGGTTTGCAGGAAATGCTGCTCCACATTAATCATCTCAATAAGGGCTCTGAGTTTGGGTCCATATAATGTGCAACATGCACCAAACATCTTCCCAAATTTGAAGTAACAAGTGTTTATAAATGGACTCTTGTCAGCTAAGCTTTAAACCCTATTTGCGGTTTTCTGCTAAAATAAACTCTTGATGGCACATTTGAAAATTAAGAAATTAATACAGCCATAAATCTTAGTGTTGTCATTTTACAGTTGTACTGTGAAATAAAATCATTGTATCTTAAAAATATATTTATTTTACAGAGAAATATTACAATAGCAATTTTGTTTCATATTTTGATTTAGTTATAATAATAATAATAATAATAAAGCAATAAACAGAATTGTTTTTATTACGGTCATATAATAACTTCTTAAATAATTTGTTTTACTTTACAGTAAAGTTTTACAATAGTAGTATTTCTTATTTATTGGTATTTTAATTTATTAATAATAATACTAAACATACAATAAATAATGATAGTAATTCTTATTATTGCTACTAAATTAGTTTACTTGGTACTTAAATTTAGTAATAGTAACAACAACAACAATCATTATTTCTATTATTATTATTATTACTACTACTATTATTATTAATTTTTAGTCATATACAAATAATCACTACATTTATGGTCAAATTTTGCAGTCTTACAAACAAGCAGGACCTACAGTATAATAATAACAAAAATAACAATAATAATACTGAAATAAAAATCTGTAGTAATAATAATAATAATAATAATAATAACAACAATTTAATTAAATTTTGCAGTCTTACAAACAAGCAGGACCTATAATAGTAAAAAATAAAAAATCTGTAATAATAATAACAATAATTATTATGAAAATCTGATGGTCCAGTAAAGCTGAAGGACTGTAATGTGCAGATGTACTGAAAAAAAGTGCAAATATTTCAGTATTTCATAAGTGCAAAATGACACATCTTTTGGTTCCTGCATGAAAACAGAAAGCTGCTTCAATAAGAACTTCCTTCTAACGATTATCATAAATACCATTAACAATGGGACCAGATTGGCTCGAGTCGTCATTCTGAAAGCCTGCAGCTTGGTTTCAAACCAAAGAAAGTTTCTTAATTGCTAAAATACACTAAAACAATCAAGCACTTGAAATGTGGATTTGTTGTCGTGTCTTCTGTGATATTGCATTGGAGTAAAAGTGTGTCGTTTCAAAAGTCGGCCTTCCAGAGTAAGATCTTGGATGAGAGAGGACCTATGAAACAAAACATACATTTCACACAGGCTTCCACTAACTTTACATTAAAGCGACAGACTAACCAGAGGCACTACATTTTGATAAAAGGTTAGAAATATAAAATGTTTTTTGGAGATCAGAAACATAGGTTAGCTTGGAGTTCATTGCCAGTTCTGATCTGGTACCTCACCTCTTCTGGACTGTTGTGCTAAATCTGCAGGTTAATGAAGGGAGCGAATCCCACCACGTCCTGCAGCAGCACTAGCGCCCTCTGCAGGGGAGGCTCCACATCGATGTCCACGTTACGCCGGCGCAGAACGCCCAGACTGGACTCGGTTACGTTGTGACAGTGGTTCACCTTGAGAGACTGCAGTTTGGGGCAGTACTCTGCTAACGTCCTGAACACAGATAAACAATTGCAATTATTATTTTTTTTCGGAAGCGTATAATTTTCCCTAAATCATGCATTCCTAATCAGATATGGGTTTTAAAACCGGCTGCATGTTATCCACAAACACCCGCCGCACCTGATGGCTTCGTTTCTCACTCGCAGGCACCCAGTGAGGTCCAGCTTCTCCAGCTCTCTGCACTTTTTGGCCACCTCCTCCACCGCGGTGTCCGTGATGTTGGCGTTAACAGCCACGGAGAGCGAGCGCAGCACCGGACACTTCCCCGCCAGGTAGCACACAGCCTCGTCCTTCAGCTGTCTGCAGGCGGTGACGTCCAGCGAGCGCAGGTCCGAGCAGTGATCGGCCAGGCTGCGCAGCGCCAGACTGTCCACCCACTCGCAGTGCTCCAGGCTCAGGTGCTGCAGCCGCGGGCAGCTCAGAGACACGGCCACCAGCGCGTGACGGCTCAGGTGAACGCAGCCGCGCATGTCCACACGCAGCAGGTGCTGGTTCTGACCAATCACCGGCAGCAGCTCTTTGTCCGTGATCCAATCGGAGCAGTTGCTGACGCAGAGGTGGTGGAGAACTTGGTTGTGGCGAAGCATTGAGCAAAAGGCTTCTTTAGGAATGTGAGGCCCCGTCTGAGGAGAAACACAGGAACAACAGTATGCAAGACTGATGAAAAATAATATTTGCCCAATATTCCAGCAGCCTTGGATCTGAAATGCTGGTACAATGTAAAACTACTGATATGCTGATACACACGTTACATACAGTTCTCTCAGAAGTTTGTCAGTAAGGTTTTTTTTTTTTAAAGAAATTAATACTTTTTCTTTTCAATAAGGTCACAATTATATTATATTATATTATTGTTAATTCCACAAATTTCAAATATGTGACCCTGGAGCACAAAAGCAGTCTGAAGTCGCTGGGGTATATTTGTAGCAATAGCCAACAATACATTGTATGGGTCAAAATTATTGATTTATCTTTTATGCCAAAAATCATTAGGATATTAAGTAAAGATCATGTTCCATGAAGATATTTTGTAAATTTCTTGCCGTAAATATATCAAAACTTAATTTTTGATTAGTAATATGCATTGCTAAGAACTTCATTTGGACAACTTTATTAATTTTAACAGTTTAATGAACGTTTTTAAATATTCACTTTAAATGAGTGTTAGATGATGACACATTAGCAAACACAAAACCAACAGGAACTGATACTGTTAAAATATAAAAACTTCTAATATCAGCCAATATTTGATACAGAACTGATATACAGTACTTTTCTAAAGTTTTGGGTCAGTGGGTCTTTTTTTTTTTTTTTGAAAGAAATACATTTTTTATTCAGTAACTATAATTTATAATACACAGCAAAACATCACAGGAATAGATTGCATTTAAAAATATATTCACATAGAAAACAGATATTTAAGTTGTAATGATATTTCACAATATTACCATATTTACTGTATTCTTGATCAAATAATGCAGCTTTGGTAAACAGAGACTTCTTAAACATTTACTGACCCTAAACATTTGAATGGTAGTATGGTGCATCCCTAATACAAATATATACGTTGTTTGAGAAGGCAAGGAGTGCTTTAAACTGTCAAACAGACTTATACCCAGCAAGAACACTTGTGCATTTCATCTGAAAGTTAAATACTAGGTACAAAAGTGTTTTTTCCCTCACCTGTGCAGGGTCAAACTTCCGGCAGTTGGCCAGATACACCTGGATGAGAGAACGCAAGCTCTTGCTGACGCACTGTAAGCTGACCAGGTGACGCAGCGGCAGGTAACAGAACACGTGTGTAACTAACACATCCTCCCACGGCAGGTCCAGCAGCTGACATCTGTCACAAAACACACACCTCAATCACAAATCTGCTCAGCAATGGATCCTCTGCAGTGAATGGGTGCCGTCAGAATGAGAGTCCAAACAGCTGATAAAAACATCACAATAATCCACAAGTAATCCACACCACTCCAGTCCATCAGTTAAAGTCTTGTGAAGTGAAAAGCTGCATGTTTATAAGAAAGAAATCATTAAGGCTTTTCAACTTCAAACCGCTGCTTCCGGCCAAAATATGAGTCCATAATCCATAATAACGCTTCCTCCATTGAAAAAGTCCATCTCCTGTTGTCTCTCACATCAAAATCCAGACACATATTTGTTTAGAGCTGTTTAAACAGTGCTT